CTGCTTTAGCTGTATCCCATAAACTTTCATGAGTAGTATTCCCATTATTATTTAGGTCAAAGTCTATTTTAAAATTGTGAGTATATTTCCTCTTTGGCTCCTGAATTGCTTAGTAGTGCCTTTTAAAGTATCTAATTGCATGGATTTTTAAAAAAATCTTGTAATTGATTTCTTACTTAATTATATTGCAGTCATATGTGCTTATGAAAAATATTTATCCATTTGTAGATATAGGCTATCGTGTATCCCAGGATATCCATTAAATTCTCCTTGTTAATCATGTTGTTTAAATTTTACTTATCATTAAGAACTTTTTTGTCCACTTGATCCAAAAATCACTGAGAAAGTGTTTTAAAATCTCCTTCTAACATTGTGATTTTCTCTATTTTTCTTTATATTTCTTTCAGTTCTTATTTTATGTATTTTGGGGCTCTGTATTGAGCTTTTATATTTTCTTGCAAAATTAAATCTTTTGATTATTATGTAATGAACCTTTTTACCTCTAATAAATATTTTTGCCTTAAAGTATATTTTATCTGATGTTTATCTAGTGATACTCACTTTCTTTTGTTGAGTATTTATATATACCACTATTTTACTTCCATTCTATTACTGACTGTGTGAATCTCTTGCAAACAGCCTATAGCTATTAGTTTCTGTCTTTTCTCTAGTAAGTTTGGTCCATTTACAATAATTGTGATTCCTGGTAAACTTATAATTATTTCTACTGTTTTCTCATACTTTCTATTTCTCCTGCTTTTCCTGTGCTTCCTTTATTCTCCTTTTCTGAGGTTTTTGATTGAATGAGTTTGTTATCATCAGTTTTTCTCCTCTAATTTTTTGGAAGCTATACAGGTATTTTGAGGTTCTAGGGTTTAATATATATTTTCTTTGTCAATCTACCTAAAGACTGATCAATTTTGTTTCTCTCTCTGAAGAATCAACTCTTGGTTTTGTTGATTATTCCTTATTGTTTTTCTGTTCTGTATTTATCTCTGCTCTAATCTTTATTATTTCTTTCCTTTTGTTATCTTTGGGTTTAATTTGTTCCTTTTATTCTAATTCTAGTTCTAGGATATAAAGTTAGGTCATGGGTTTGAGATTTTTCCTTCTAAAAATATCTTTTTATTTATTTACTTATTTATTGGAATAAAGTTGATATACAATATTATATTGGTTTCAAATGTACAACATAGTGAATCAGAAATTATCTACATTACTAACTGCTCATCACAAGTGTAGTTACTCCCATTACCATACCAAGATTTTACAACATTATTGGTTATATTCTCTATATTTCCATTCCTATGACTAATTTATTTTATTTTATTTTTTGATCTATTTGTATCAGAGGGTTTTACTTATTTATTTTTCCCAGTATATTTTTATTGAATTATAGTTGGTATACAACATAATATTGGTTTAGAGTATACAGCATAGGGAGTAAACAATTATATACATTACTAAGTGCTCAACACAATGAATTAGTTAGCATCTGTTAACATAAAGCTTTTACAACTATAAATTTGCCTCTTGGCACTGCTTTTGTTACATCCCATAAATTTTACTATGCTGTATTTTTGTTTGTTGCCAGATATGTTCTAATTTTCCATGTGATTTTTTTGTATGATGAATCAGTTGTTTAGTTGTATGCTGTTTAATATCCACATATTTGTGGATTTTCTACTGATGTAAGTCCTAAAGGAAGTGAGGGAGTAAGCTGCGTAGATACCTGGAGAAAAAGCAATCCAGGCAGAAGGAAGAGCCAGCTTGGGAGATAATCCCTGCTGTGTTTTAGAATGAGTAGAAAGGTAGTTTGGTTATTTTAGTAAAAAAGAATTAAGTGCAAGTTTACAAAAACAATCAGAATAATTTGTTGAGATAAATATTAATATCCTGAAGTAAGATTCATTGTATTATGGTCTTTTTTCTATCACGAAAGAACCCCAGCAATTCAATATATAATAAATCAATTCAAAGAGATGATTCTTCATTTTTAAAATGTAGCTTTATAAGTACCTTTACAGAATTATGGTAAATATATATATCAAAATACAGTAATATGCATGAAAAACAGTTTTTTAGCTTACCTAATCATATAATTAAAAACTTAATTGTGTGTTTTAGTTTTATGAGGGACAGAATTACTTTTTATTTCATGAGTGCTAAAGGACTAGAAAAATGTGAACATTCATTGCTATGTAAAATGCAATTTACTACAATCATGAAATAATCAGTTGTTTACTAACTGTGACATTTTACTTTATTCTTAAAGAATAAAAAGCTATGTAGTGGAAAGAATAGTATAGGAGTCAGAAGACTTGCTTCTATTCTAATTCTTGAAGTTCTTTAATGTTTAATTTTGAGGAAGTCATTTTACATTTCATTTTATTTACTCATTGGGAGTTTTGTTTGTTTTAAATGAGATTCGACTAGGTGTATTCTGTTCCCAAAATGCCTGTGCTTTTGTCATTCTGTGATTATTGTTTTATAATGTGTTACAGTAATGCACTGCCTTAATTATATGTCATACTGCAAACTTTTAAAGAGGAAATTGTATTTTGGACAAACTCCTGTTCATGTTTAATGTTCAGCTCCAATACTGCCTATTTTATATATCTTTTCATGATCACTTAAGATTAGTTGTTTCTTCATCTGGGCTTCTATGGTACTTTATACCTATTTCCATTTCTCTTTCATAATATATTGCAGCTACATATTTATTTATCTATCCTTGAGTTGCCTATTTTGGAATTCTCACAACTTTAAAATACTTTTCATGTATTTGGTGTCTAGTCGTTTTTTAGCTGGATTCTCATGCCTGTATGTTGAAAGGCCAGTAGTTAATACACCAGAAATTAAAATTGTGTTCAATAACATTGCCATTTGAAAGGTAACATTCTATATAATGAATGTTTCTCCTAGTTGAAAACTCCTATTTCAGGCATTTAACAAGATTTAATTTGGTCTTTTGGTCTAACTTTCACATTACATGGATGGCATAAATGCTTATTTGCATGACTCAAGTAGACAGATGTAAGAAGTAGTTATCTTGTCATTGATTATGAAATCACTAAAGTGGATGATTACTACTGATTACCTCCTACTTGTCCCTTTGCATTTTGGATCAAAGGCACATATTTCATAAAGATTAAGTCTTCCAAGGACTATTCATAAGTGTGTTTTTACATAGGAATGTAATTTTTAGCAGGCATTCATAGCCATTTACTGCATGGTGTGCCTGTAAGTATGATGAATCAGAGTATGATCCTTATTTTGTTTAGATTTTCAAATTCCTTTCATCTAATCACCTAATCTAATCTTTATTTCTCCCCCTCATTTAAAAACAGTTTTTAAAGAACCATACTGATGCATCTATTCAACAGCTACATATTTAATATCTACTACTTGCCAGACACAGAGTTAGGCATTATTAGATTTGAAATTGAACAGATAGATATAGATAAGGTCTCTGTTGTCAGAATTAAAAGGTAAAGAAACATTTGCCCATTTAGCCAGCATTTACTAATTGCATACTGTGTGCTAGACATTGTTCTGGAAATTGTGGACACAGTAGTAAAAATAACAAAGTCTATATACCCTCTTGTAGCTTACATTCTAATGGAGAAATAACTATGTGGGGAAGGTTGGTCAGGAATGGCCTTCCCAAGAAAGTGATGTTTGTGCTAAGATCTGAAGGCTGCCATAGGACAACAGGAGAAGACTAGTTGAGGCCAAACAGTGGTTACCAAAGATAGATAATGAGAACGGATTCATGTTTGATGCACATTGTTTTGTAGTCTTCAAGATGAGAAGATTAAGGAATTTATCATTGATTTTATTTTTTAATTATTAACTGAGGGCATCAGTTGGGAAGTTTTGTGGGAGAGGGCGGGCAAGCAATGAGAGAACAATTTGGAGAGAGAGGTCACTGTGAGGCAGTCACTCCAGAGAGAAGCAGGTATGCAAACCAGGGACATGCAGTGGGACTGCTGGGCAGTGTTGAGGGTCTACTTGTTAATCGTGAGTTTGAAGGGAAACTAGTCAACCTGGTTGTGTGGTTTTTCCAGCTACGTCACAGGTGTAGAGAAGATGTAAGGTTTAACCAGAGTTGGGGTTTTTTTACTCCAGGAGACTGGCCCTGGAGAGAGAGCAGAACAAGAGTGTTGATGAATTATGAAACATAATTCAAAAAGTAGAATTTAGAGTGGGGAAGCAGAAAATGAAGAAGAATGGAGGCTGAGGAAAGTTGATGGATATAAAGAAAGTGAGGAATCCATCCATGGATTGGAGGCATGGATGAGGTTGAAAGTTGTGGATAGAGAAGTGAATTTCATGGGTTAATATTATTATGCAATATTAAAAGATACTTATTAATAGATATTTTTCTCTGTATGCATTCACATAAAAACATACCAACTTTTTAACATTGAAAAGAGTGAGGCTTTGCTTAGATAATTGAAAAAATGTGATGGCCACCAGAAGTTCTGGGAGCCGTTCCTTTTTTTAGTAATTTCATACAAATGGCTAAATGCAATATAGCAAGGATGTAAAAGGTTAAAAGCACTACTCGGAAATCAAGAAATCTGGGAAGTTGTTTCAGGTTCTGTGCAAAATTTCCTTTTTAAAGTCATCTGACCTCATTGGCCATATTCTCCTAATTATTTCAAGCACTGTGCCCCGTGCTGGGCATATAGTCACACCAGAAAATGAGAACAGGGTGCCACTGGAGTATGGAGATGGGCATTCAACCCAAATGGGATTGAGAGTGGTCCCATTTGGAGGAAGTCCTGTCTAAGCTGGAGTTTTGAAAGATAAGAAGGAGTTAGAAGATTGCTAAGAAACCACAGGCAGAAATGGGAGGGAATAGTGTATACAGAGATCCTCAGGCAAGAAAGAAATGACCTGAAGGATCCCAGGTGGCTGGTTCAGAGTGTCTGAGAGAAGAAATGTTGAGATACAAGACTAGGAAATAATAAGGGCCATATTTTAAAGGACCTAGTAGGTTATGTTAAAAGAAATTCCATCCCCAAAGCAATGCATGGGCTTAGTGTTGGGTTTTGCCTAGAGCAGGACTGTAAGACGCAATCACTTTAACGTGTGTGGGATTTGCTTTGATGAAGAAGTTGAATTTTACCATTTCTAAGGTGCATTCTAAAATTCTTTGATTCATTATATTAACACCTAAATATAAAGCATTACATCAAAATGAGTTAAATATGGTCCTCATATTTTAATCTGAAAAGAATTTTAATAGCAATTAATATGGGACTATAATAAACATAAAAATAAAGCCCTACTTAGAAAGTCTTATTAAACTTATATTCGTCTGTTTGCCAAAAGAATGGAAATTAAAATTTCCTGTGACTCTGAGTACATTTGGTTACTGCTGTGTATCTTCTTCCATCATATCAGTGAAAATATTAGGTAATTTCCTATGAGTTTGTGTACCATTTAATATCCCTGATCAAATGTAGATGAAACTACTTTTTGTCTCCAGTGATTTAGACTTTTGAGATGCTTCCATTAATTGGAAAAACGATCATCTTTGATAAGTTCCCTGATCCTTCGGATACATGGGAAATCACCGAAACCATTGGCAAAGGAACTTACGGGAAAGTTTTTAAAGTGTTGAACAAGAAAAATGGCCAAAAAGCAGCAGTCAAAATTCTGGATCCAATTCATGTAAGTCACATTACTTTTTTCCCCACTAATTAACTTTGTTTTTATCTGTATTGAATAGTTAAAAGTCTGTAGGCATATTATCTTGATTTATTTGTTACAGTGTCAGTTGTCAGTTAGAACCTGAAGAAAATGTAAAAAGAAAGTCTACTTAGTTTTTCCTCATTTATCTGCTTAACATCTATTATGGGGCCAATAAATACTTGATAAGTGAATAAATATAAAATACAAATAATTACATAAATATAGCTCTCAACAGCTCAAGTTGATTTAATATGATTTTAGATTTCAAAAATTGTAAAATACAGTCACATGGGTCTATAAGTATTCCTCAAATGTCATTTTGACCAGACCTTTTCTTCTTGCCTTTATTTAGGTTTCAGGTAGAATTTTCTCTCAAGCTAAGTCAGAAATGTTTTTTAAAAATTAAATATCTTTCAGAGAAGGGATGTTAATGTTCAGGTTTGCTTAAATGTTTCTAAAGCAGAAATGGTGTATAATCAGGGTAAAGTTCCTTGTGACAAACTGGATTTCAGGTTTAGTCCTCATGGCCTATTTGTAAGTGATGCCCCAGTGGAATCTTCCTTTGATTTTTTTGGAATAGCAGTTGTGATAAGGGATCCTACGAAGCCTTGCCTTTGCCTTAAAGAGCATGAGGAGATTGACAAGATTCTTTTCTGGGGATGAAAGCTGGCCATTTGGAAGCATTTTCAGCTCCTGGGAAAAAAGTGGCTCCCCCATGGCACACTGTGAGCCAGAATGACTCAGCCATCACATAATCCCCCAACGTCTATGGAGAGAACCTTCTCCAATTACTTGATGGTTGCACATGATGGGACTGTGGTTTGACGAAGTGATGTCATATGTGTGGTGAGGACACGGAGTCCTAGACCTTGTCACAGCTCTTACATGAACAAACATACAACAGTGCAAAAGGTCCTGGGCCTCTGTTCACCTTAAGGTTGCTCTTTATTTTTCGATAGTTTATTTCTACTAAACCCATTATAACCACAGTGCTTCATGTATTTTGAGCAGAGAGGGAGAGTGGGGGTTTATTCTTAAGTAATAATTTAGGTACACTGGAGGAAAAAAAACGAGAAATACTATGCTCAGGTTAACTGATACTGAAGGTCTTCATATTCCCCTGTGGAAAGTTCTAACCATTTAAACTGAGAGAAGAGAGACACAAATAAGCTGCATCAAAGTGACTGTACCTCCTGCCTCCAGTCTTTGTAGCTACAGGTTGGGATTCATGGTGGCAACAGAAAGGCCTTCCCCTAGATCTCAGTGTCTGGCCCCACAATTAGGGTTTCTCTCCCATTTCCCTGCTTCTTAATGGAGAAGAATGAGTGGTTTACAGATTCATGAATCCACTATTCTTTCATAATGTACTCTTGTTGGTGTACTACTATCTTATAAACCATGTTTTGTTTTATTGTTTTATTGAAACATAGTGAGTTCATAACTGTAGTATGAAGTTTGTTCTATGGCTGCTTTCATTCTTTTCATAGTACATATATACCTTTCTAGGAATTATTTATTTACTCTTCATCATGTCCCAAGTTGAATAAAAAATATTTATAACCATGAGATTATAATCTTAATCAAATAAGTTTAAATGCACCCAAGCATTTTACAGAATGGCTTTTTTATTAAAAGGATCCTACTATTATGAATTTTTAACTAGAAATTTCTTTCCAAGAAAGAGATGAAATGAACAGAATTAGAAGATAGTAAGTGGGCTGCTTGTCTCGAGCCTGCCCGCACTCCCTTCTTGAGTGTGTACTTCACTTTATTAAACTATTCTTTGTTTGTAAAAAAAGAAGGTAATAAGTAGTAGACTTTGAATCTAGACCTGCATCTTTTGCTAACTAGCTCTGTGACTTTAACTTCTCTGAGCTTTAGTTTGTTCCTCTCAAATTAGAGCTCTGGTCCATAACTCTTTACAGCTCTGTGATTGCATGGTTCTGTCTTCAAACAGTGTGGACACTAGATGTTACTGTAAAAACAGTTTAAGCTTTCTCTCATCTATTATTCTGTGAGTTGTTTCATGTATTGTGTTTTTCTAGAAACATGACTAAAGTGTCTATCTTGCATTTTTCTTGAACAGATAGCAACCTCTTCTATTTCTGGTAAATGCACCTTTAGCTAACTAAAAGCTATATGCCATCTTCCATAATTTAACTCTATTTTACTTTTTTGGAAAGGTGGGAATTTATTGCTTATATGACTAGTATTTGAAAGCTTCTAAATATCCTGTATTTCAAAAACAAAATGAACCAACTAAGAGTTTTTTTTTCAGATCAGTGGCTTTGCCATTGAAACAAAATTAATACTACAAAGAAAGGAAAATCATCTGGAGTAGTTCTCCATGCATGTTTCTTTCTAAGTGCATACAAAAATAATATTTTATTTATTCCTTTTTAAGTCAGTGAGATTAACACAATCAGAGATGTATTTGATTAGCCAGAAAATTGCAATCTCTCCCCATAAACAATGTTATGAGAAATTTCAATACATAATACTGAGAACAAGAAAAACTATTAAGACCTTGCTTTGACAAAATTCTGTATTGGTAGTCTATAATAGGTTTCTTTGACATTAATCGTGCTTTTCTCATAGTTCTCTTCCTATGACTTTTTGAAAATAGGACATCGATGAAGAGATTGAAGTGGAGTATAACATACTAAAAGCACTTTCTGACCACCCTAATGTTAAATTTTATGGGATGTACTTTAAGAAGGATGAAATAAATGGAGATAAGCTGTGGTTGGTTCTTGAGGTAAGTGTTCCACATGATTTTATAGTTGGATGTTTACAGTGTGGTATAGGAATGACTTAATGTTTATGTAACATTGACACCATAAAGCAGTTCTTCTAGAATGTTCCTTACTGGTCACATCCTCAGTAAAATGTTGTGTCCAGTTCTGACCTTGTCACCTTAAGACACATAAGGAAATTAAATGTAAGCCACAAAGACTATTAAATATAAAAGAGGAGAAAATATCTTCACAATAAAAGACTAAAGAAACTAGGGTTATTTTCTTTGCAGAAGAACAAGCCTAAAAGGGACTTCATTTTAATATTTACTTATTCATCCATATTTTGTTCAACTAACACATGATAGAGGCTCAGTGCCAGGTGCTAGAAAATAAGAGGAAATTAGTGTCAGTGAGGCTTCATTAGACAAAAATGGTGAGCTGTGATTTTCTTTTTCTGTCTTCATTGAATACTAATGACAAAGTACAGAACCAGATATTCACATTTATGGGGTAAAAAAATACCCTATTAGAAATGGTGTTGAATACTTAATAAGTTGTCCCCAAAGAACTACAGAGTGTGTCTTTTCAAGTCCCAAGAGTTGGTTTGGACAATTCTAATGTAGGAGTACTAAAAGGTATCTCTCTAAGGTAACTGTCAGCCCTAGTACAATGTGCTTTTTCTAATTTTCATTGAATATTATTATTCAAGAGGTAATCTTTCATTCTAATAAACTTCATAAGAAGTTTTAAAGTTTGCTTTTATC